AGTGAATAAGTAGAATTTTTTGAGGATTGTCTCATTTTCCAGTCCATGTCCAGGGTATCCTATTTTTGCAAATCTTATGAATCTCATCCATCAGAATTCTAAAGATTAGGTGGCTCAAGCTATCGCCTTGTTTAACTCCTTGTTCCATACAGAATGGTTCAGACTTATTGATTCTTGATATTGACTTTGTAGCATCTATCAGGCTTTTAGGAACTTGCTTTAGCTGGAGGGATTTTCATAAATGGTTCTTAAGAACAGAATCAAAAGCCAATTGCAGGTTCAAGAATGCATGTTACATGTCCTCTCTATCCCATGGCTTTTCCAATATGTTTCACAAGATAGAAATATAATCTTGTGTTAGTCTTCCTGGGCGGAAACCAGTCTGTTCTTTTTCTAAGCCAACCTCTAATATTTCTCTTAGTCTGTATTGGAGGATAGATGTATACTACTGAAGAGAGACATATCGGCCTGTAGTTGCTGCATTCACTTTGTTTGCTCTTCTTGTAAATAGAAACAATGATACTTATTTCCCAATCCTTTGGTATCCTCTTTTGGTCCCATACCTTCTGAAATAGGATCTGTATAACTTTTACTTTCTGGTGAGATCCTGTCATATTCTGCAGCTTTGCTAGTCTTGATCTTTTCCATGTCTCTTTCTACTCTCTTCTCCCAGATAGTTTCCTTTTCATTGTCCTACCCTGCCTTTCTTCAGTTTTCTCATAGAACTCTGATATGTTTTCAGAGAAAACATGTTAAAATGTCTTTTTCATCTATCTAGAATCTCTTCCGACTGTAAGAATTTCATCATCCTCATTCATAATATTCCTAATTTTCTTAACAATTTTGTTTCTCAAGGCTTTCACTGCCCTCCAAAATGTTTTTATATTATGAAGAGAAGATAGTTGGGGTGATCAGTCAAATACGAAGGCAAAAATAAATGATAATATTTATTTTGACATTTGCCGACGTTTCTACCTGAAGTTCAGGCCTTCATCAGGGCTAAGAAAAGAACCAGATAACAAGGTATGAGAAACATAAATAGTGTAGGTAAAAAAAAAAATTAAAGTAAAATGAAGTTGTTAAAATAATGACAATAGTAAGAACTAAGAGATAAATAATAATAACCGTTACAAAGTGTGGAATGATGAAGTAAACATAATCAAAAAAGGTGACATAAGTATTAAAATGGGAATCTTAGAATAAAATGTAAAACAGAAAAAAGAAATATGAAGTTATATAAGAAATGAAAATAAATAGTAAAATTAAGGTATTGCAAATAAAATAGATAGAAAATTGAAATATTGCAAAGTCTATCAAAATGTACAGACAAGGTATAATATAATAAAGAGTTAAAACAGAGAAAAGGAATGAAAGGAAGGAGGAAAAAAACTGAGAAGGCTGAAATAAGAAAGAGAAAATAGAAAAAACAAACCTATCTCCAAAAAGGTTGATGGAGAAGTGAGAATATGGTAGCAAGCAAGGGAGGGGGGAGAGAAGAGATGTATTGTGGCGTCATCTCTTACCGTTATATGACGAAGTTTGAACTAAAGTACCGGAAGAGTAAATAATGGACGAGTGATATATTACTTATAAATATTATGGATAATTAAACGAAAGTTTAATAGAAAGAGGATGGAAAAATCTGGAGAGGGAATAAAACAGAGATAATAACTGTTAGGTAATAATGGAGAATAATTGAAATTAATACATATCATATATATGTATATGTATATATATATATATATATATATATATATATATATATATATATATATATATATATATACACACACACACACACACACACACACACACACATATATATATACATACATACACACTTGTATATATATATATAAGGAAGTTGTCAGCGAAAAGGAAACGAATATAGCTATGGATGTTTTAATAAATTCAGAATTTAGGAGTAGGCTAAGCATAAGTTCTGTTTGTCTGTTTTTAGATTCACTGTCTTTGGTTGAAGCTGGATGTGGAGGATTTCAGAAATGAGTCCTTTGTCATGGTTGAGAACTGTGGCAAGGATGGAAGTTTTGTCGAAATCAAATGTATGATTAAGGGAGAGAGAATGTTCGGATAATTTGGAGGCGGTAAAATTACGAGAGGATACAGAATATTTATGTTGGGTGATGCGGTAGAAGATTTTTGGTTTCACCAATATAGGATGAAAAACAATTGGGGGTAGAACACGGAATACGGTAAACGATATGAGAGCTGTGTGAGAGAGGAACAGGATCTTTTAGGGATGTGTATAATTTAGGTTAGTAGATCGTAAAACTTTGTTTATGTTGTCCGAAAGGTTAGGAATATAAGGTAAAGATCTGTATATAGAGGCCGAAATGGGTTGTGGAGAATTAGTGGAAGTCGAGATTAAGGAAGAGCGATTATTGTGGTCTGTTATAAGTTTGTTAATGACATGGAGAGGAAAATTATTGTTTGACAGGATCTCTTTTATGCGTTTGATATTGGTAACATGAAATTGGGGATCAGAGAGGGAGAGACTACGGTGGATGAAATTTTTAGCAACATTAATTTTTTGGTGGTAGGGATGTTTAGAATGAAAATTCAGAAGTCTGCCAGTGTAAGGTGGTTTAGTGTACCAGTCTGTGGATATGATGTTATTGGGATTTTTAATGATTAGAAGGTCGAGAAAAGGGAGAGAATTATTGAGTTTGCGTTGTACTGTAAAATTGAGGCAGGGGTGGTATGAGTTAAAATTTTATAGGATATCGGGAATTTTATTTGGATTGATGATTAGGAGGAGGTCGTCTTTATATTTTCGAATAAAGATGATATCGTCTGGGTAAAGAGGGATAATGGAGTCTAGAAGGTCGTTTAGAACGATGTTGGAGATTTCGGGAGTGAGGGGGTTACCCATTGCTAGCCCGGAGATTTGGTTAAAAAATTGTCCTTGGAAAGTGAGGTAGCCTGATTTACAGCATAGATGAAGGGATTCAAGATATGAGGAGTGGTTAAGTGAGGTGTGGGTTCAATGATAGTCCAATTTTCGTCCATTATAGTAAGTGCCTGATCTATGGGTATGTTCGTAAATAAACTTTTAACGTCAAAGGAGCAAAGAATAAAATTGTCTTGAATGGTAAAGGAGAGTAGCTGTTCATGGAGATGGAATGAGTTATGTACACCATAAGGGTTGTTGTAGCTGAAAATTTGTAAGGAAGGTAGTAAGAATTTGCTAAATTTAACTGAAGGAGTATTAATATTGGAAGTGATCAGACGAAGTGGGGTGCCAGGTTTGTGGATTTTAGGAAGTCCATAAAAACGGGGGAGGGGGGGGCAACTGAATTGTAGCAGATCAGGTTTCTGTAAGTAAGATAGTTTATAAGTTTAGAATTTAAAAGATTTTTAGGTATAGATTAAATTTGGTTTTTAATGATGGGGTAGGATCATGGGATGAAGGAGAGTAAGTGGAACGGTCTGATAGGAGTAAAGTCATTTTGTCAGTATATTCTGTGTGATCCATAATTACAGTTTTGTTGCCTTTATCAGCTCTGGTTATGATTATATTGTCATGGGATTTTAAGAAGGATCAGGTAAAAGAGGGGTCTTTGAAAAATTCAGGAGAAAAAGAAGAAGAGAAGAACGTTGGGTGTAAGAGATAGTTGGAAATAATGTTACAGATGTAAACGCTTGACAACTCCTTATTTTCTTTTGAAGAGGTGAAAAGATTGTATGCGCAAATTTATTCGAGGTCAGTGATAAGTTGTGGGATGATTTTGACAGGGTGTTGGGTGTGGAAAAAAAAATGTTTTTATATTATCGTAATAATTCTTGTCAAGAGATTTTCCAAATTCCTCCCAAGATTTATTGCTTTGCAAACAATTATCTTAACCTCATTCCTTCTTAGTCTATATTGTTCTAAATTTAGAGTAGTGCAAACTACCTGATATGTTTTTCAGGCTTCCATCTTACTTTTCACAGCTGCTTTAACTTCCTGGTTCCACCATTTAAAGCATTTTTCTTTATTATCTATTTTCTTCAATCTGCATATACTAATAGCAGCTAAGACTATTTCCTTCAACTTATTTCAGTATTCATCTGGTCCCATTTCCAAGTCAATGACTCTTAATCTTTCTTCCAGGAGATTGGTGTACTCTTCACGCTTCTCGATTGTTTGCATAGCTCTTATATTAACTTTTTCGTAGGACTTGTTATATTGTTTGCGCTTTCTAAAAATACATGTGTCGGCTTCCAACAGCAGATGATCTGTGCTGATTTAGACACCTCTAATTATTTTTATATCTGTAAAATATTGTCTCAAGTCTCGTATCATACAAGATATAGTCAATAACCCCGTTTCTGTCACCTGTAGAAAAGGTAATTTTATGCATTTTTTAGTGTGGATAAAATGAATTGCATTATCTATTTAGAAATCAATTAATCACTGGCCATTATTACTTAATGTTCTTTCCTCTCCATGGAGCCCAGTAACTCCATGTGCACTTCAGTGATCCCATCCAGTTCTGTCATTGAAATCACTTATAACGATTATGCTTCTCCTTCTATTACGACATTAGTTAATTGTTCTCTCCAATTAGATGTAGAACATCTTTTTATCTAGCACAGATGGAGTTTGAGAGTGGAAATGGATTGTCGAGAGATATAAGAAATATGGTGATGGCAATTGAAAATATTGTTTCAAAGTTATGAAAATGAATAAAAAAACAAGTAACACTATAACTCAAATAATAATTATAGGATTGTCTGTAATATCTAAAAAATGTCTCTTAAATAAATGAATGAATGTGATTACTGCTTTGTTAATTAACAGAGACATTAAACAGACAAACAAAAATTTTAAGCTATTTTTATTGACTAGTAAATTTTTAAAAAATATTATACCCACCAAATGCTGAATAATTGACAATGGTCCTTATAGCAGTATTGTTTTGATTTCATTAATATTTTTCATTTCTGTGTAATTTTATGTTGTTTCATTTTATTTTTATTTATTTTTTTTTTTTTTAGGGTTGTCAAAGAAGATGGCTAAACCAGAAAGGCATCCCTGGCCTTATGGCCCCCAATGGAATTATTATCCTCCGCATATGCTTAATTTTTCTAAAATTCCCTTTTCCAATGGACCTCAAGTGAATATCGATTCTAATGAAAATTATCTCTCCATTAGGTGCCCTGAACCCCGTAGGCCATATCAAGTTCCTTATTCTTCATTTACGTCTTATTATCACCAAGAAACTCATCCAGTTCGTTCATATTTGGAAGCAAATCCAGTTTATCCTCCTAAGCAATATTTGTATAGACCTCTATGTCAGGAAAACATTAACAGTTCTTATAAAGTCGCTGAAAATCTTCAGAGCTATCCTGCTTGCTCAAACTATCCTTTGGCCAAAGATCAAAGCACATGTTACCAAACAACATGGAACAATACTAGTCATTTTCAAAGAAATCCACCTGAACTAGATGTTCGTCATTTTCTGGCAACTTGGCAAGATAAAGATGATGATTTTGTTGATGTTTCTACTGATAATGATCAAGCTCAAGTATATCAAGGAAATGATTCCATACCGTTGGATTGTAGTAAAAGAAATAGTAATGATAAAAGTATTAGGAAAAGTTATAATGATAATTTTTTGAATGGACCAACATTAAATGCTACTGGTTATATTGTACAACCATATTATTTAAAAGATGATTCAATGGCCTTGAATAGACCTGTTATTCCAGAGGAATTGAATAATAATGTTCTTCATAGAAACAATCTTAACTATGAAAATAATCATCAAAGTTACCAAAAAAATTTTTATCCAAATACCATTAAATTTCCAGCTAGTAAACTACTACCTTGTGAACATAATATGTCACCATATAGTCAACCATTAAATCACTGTGATATTACCAGTAGTCATTTAAGAAGCTCTATGAACCCACCTCGGCAGAAAGACCTTGTTGTAGATTCATCAGAAAGATCTCAGTATAATTTGACTTCTTCTTTAGAATCTGGAGAGCTGTTCTGTGACATAAATCCACGCCATGAAGAAATTCAAAAGCCTCCTGTTATTCATCCAATGTTTAACGATAATTTACACAAAATGAACGCAGTTGATGAACCATGTTATTTTGGAAATGAAAACAATGAATTTTCAGAAAATTTAATGCTTAATGATTTTGCTCCATTAAAAGATTCATGGGACATGTTTTCATCCAACTTGAAAGTTAAGGATAATACCAAAGTATCAAATAATCCTAAGTCTGTTAATAAAGTGTCACCTCAAAATCTTTATGAACATTTGTTATCAAATAATAATGATGATAATAATAATGCTACTAGTGGTAATGATAATAATATTAATCTTAATAATAATGTAACCTCAATTGCTTATGAAGGTGCCTTTAATATTTTGCCTAACATTTCTTCTAGTAACCAAAGTTCTACCCCACATAATGTTGGTAATGCGTGTGTTTTGCAATCTCATGAACCTATAAAACCAAATTTAAGTTCTCAACCACATATTTCTACTAAATTACCCACCAATGTCACCAAACCAATCCAGGCAAATACAAAAATTAGACCATTTCAATTTAATGAAGAAATTAGCTCTGATGACATTGATATCAGCATAGCCTCATCAGGAGATTTTCTTGTCGAAGATCAACCAAGCCTTTGTTGTAATTCTGTTATTAGTTTTTCAAAGATGAAAAAAGAAAAAATTAATCCTGTTCCTCAAAAGATTTTAAAGGATAATAATAATTCATATAAAGTTGATGAGCCTTATTCTTGTCCAGTTTTTCATAATGATTCTGAAAAAAACAGTTCCTTATCTCATATAGATGGTGAACAGAAAAACAAATTAAATGGTACTCCTAAAAGAGAATTTAAATCTATGGAGATAGAAAAAAAATCTGGTAGCCCTGTCCATACTATTTCATCCAAGAAAGGTGATGCTATGGACTTGAGCGTGCTAAAACCACTTAATATTAAAGATACTGGTTCTGAATTAGAAAAAGATCCTATGTGTTATCTTGATATATCAAACAATTATTTTGAAAGTTCTAATTTTGAACAAAAAACACCAGAGTTGAAAACGATTCCTCGAGTGGAAAATGATACATCAAACCTTCCCTCTGAAAAGTGTGAGATTCTAAACCAAACAGACCAAATATCGGACGTTATGGAAAATAGTGATGAAAGTTCTGTTCAAGAATCTAACTTCCCTATTCTTGATGATGCCTTATCTCATATTACCAATCCTGATAAATTGTTAAATAATAATAACTCTGTGATTCCTAACGACAATTTGCTTTTGCTTGCTCATTGTTCTCAAGAATATGGTGGTCAAATTAAAAAAGAAAATGAATCTTCTGAGGATTGCTCTTTAGCTGTTAGCAATATAGCTTGTAGTGAAAGTCATCCAAAAACTATCAGAGATAGTGTTATCAAGTGTAGCTTGCGATGGGATAAAATTTTTAATATTATGTCCGATGAAGTTAATTCTCAACCAGACATGTCACTTGACCTTGGCCCTGCCAAAGTTGAATTAAGGTTGCCATCAGACAATTGTTCATCAAATCATTGGAAAATTGTTGAAGCTGATAATAAAATACAAACTTCATCGATTGTTAAAGTTAAAAGGTTGATTTTGAAGCGCAAAAATCAATCTGAAGAACGGATACCCAAAATGATCATTAAAAAAACTGAAGGTCAAGAATATCGAAGTTATTTAAAAAATGAATCAAGTAAAGCAGTATTGCATTGTGAAAAAATGAAGATTTATTGTGACAAGTTATCTAAATCACCTCAAAAACCATCAGGTATGGTACAGTCATTTTACATTTCCTTATTTTATTTTAGGTTTATTAATAAAATAATTTTAGTAAATGGGAAAGTCACTAGACGCTTAACTCCTGGATCCAGTCCGCCATTGGCAGGTAATTTATATATTCTGTTGTATCAGCAGTGGATCAACTCTGGATTGACCCAGCTTCTATAAAGTGGTTAACCTTAATAGTCAAGGAGCCTGTTTTATTTTATAGTTCTGTTATTTAGGTCACTCATCTAACATATATCTGAAAGTCATTTTAAACAATAAGTATATGATGCTATCTAAAATCAGAAGTGGTTTTGATGTTTCAAAGTGTAGCAAGCTTTTCGAAAATTCTAAATGAAAGTCAGTGAATTATCAAATTTTATTCATTAAACATATTACTGAATTCTATATCATTATATAGTTATTAAATGGAAGAGTACAAAAACCAGATTAAAGGTTTTTTATTTTCAATCCTGTATTTTGATGTTGTTTCGATTAATTTGCATGGTCAGTGAACTTTTTTATTAAAAATTTTCAGTGGAATAATCACTGAAAATTTAGGATTTTAGATTTTTATAGTTTAATTTCATTTCCAATACTCAATAAAAAGTGGATATTTTAAGCTGTGCACCTGACTACTGGAACTGGTCTTTTTTTTTTTCTAAATATTTTTACTTGGTCTCAAAATTGCACATCTGGTAAGTTGAAAGTATAACAAAGTCTTTCCCAGACACTATAAAAGGAAATATAAAACATGCATTTCTGCTTAGTGTTGAGGTACTAATAAGAAATTTAACAATAACAGATTTTAATTTAAAAGTCGTAGTTCATGATTTTAGTTATTAGTAAAGATTTAGCATTTTTAATAATAATAAAGCTTAGCGAACCCGAAGGTTCAATGCCAATACCAATCGATGTCAACATTCTTCCATCCACTGGGCTCCATCTAAACCCAACCCCAGTCCTCTCTGATCTCAACACAGTGTCTAACATTCTTAGGAATTGGTGCAGGACTAACAGACTAAGCATCAACCCGAAGAAAATTAATGTGTGTATCTTCACTAGGAAGAAAAAGGTGTTTATTAAAATGCTGGAAATTAATGGTATCCAACTGACACATAGTAAGGAAGTAAAACACCTTGGAGTCATTTTGGACTATAAACTGACATGGACTAAACATGTTCAGTACGTGACAAGTAAAGCCCTCTAATGCCTATGGGCCTATAAAAGAGTGATAGGGAAAAACTGGGGACTCAAACCTAAAATGGTATACTGGCTATATACAACAGTTAGACCTATCATATTATACTCAGCTTTGCTTTGGTGGCATAAAACAAAGACTGCAGGTAATTCATCATGCGCTCTGACACTCTAATCCGTGAATATCTGGACCGCAAATATGGGGTTGAGATAGACAGCAGACAAAACAAACCAAAAAATAGTATTAATTGTTATACAGATGGCTCTCTAACAGCCTATGGCTCAGGAGCAGGCATCTATCGTAAAGATAACAAAGAAAGAGATTCTATACTTCTTGGCAGATATGCTTCAGTATTTCTACTAACAATTTGCCATTGTGCTCAAAACCTACTGCGAAACAATGTGACTGGGAAAAAGATTACAGTCTATAAAGACAGTCAGGCAGCAATAGGTGCTACAAACTGACTGAACGCAATACAGTTGCAGTGGAGTGGGTGTCTGGTCATTCGGGCATACTAGACAACAAAGAGGGAAATAAACTAGCCAGATTAGACTCAGATACCATTCCCATAACTCCTGAACCTGTTTGTGGAACAGCCTTAGTACTGCCAAAAGTAGGATTAGGGAGATTTATGGAAACATATTTAAACAATAGTGGACAGAGAAGAAACGGCATTTGAAGCTGTTCCTTAAAGGTCCATGTGAAAAAAGAAGCAGTAGTATGGGCTGAGCAGCTCTTAAAAAGCTTACAGCGATCTACACAGGCCACAGTAAGCTAAACTACCATATGTTCAATCTCCGAGTGACGACGAATTTGCTATGCAGGTTCTGTCAAGAGGAGAATGAAACAGCCTTTCACATCGTTTGTCGATGTGGTAGATTCGCAAGGCTTAGACTGGAACTATTTGGGGAGGAATGGATGGATCTCCCGAGTAGCTATGAGACGGTCAATCCAACTAGCCTACTAAGGTATGCGGAAGCCGCAAAAATAACGTTTTGAGAATGAACGAATAGCTTAATAGATCCTTCAAGGGTTGAGTTGCTCTGAGCCAACAAAAAAAAAAAAAAAAACCAACCCCAACAAATCAGCCTTAATGCAATCTACCAACCTTTGCTTTGGTCTACCCCTCGGACGCTTGCCAGTCGGTACAGCGCATATTAATTTTTTAGGAATTCTTTCGTTAGTAAGCCCAGTGAATTTACATGCTCATTTTATTTGCTTCAACTCGATCACCTCAATTATATTAACTGGATACAGTTCACGCAATTCAGCATTGTGTAACCGCCTAAATTCTCCGGACTCGTCCTTTTTCAGTCCGAATATTCTGCGCAATATTTTATTTTCAAAAACTTTAAGATGTTGCTTATCCCTTAATGTAAACAGCCATGTGTCACATCCATAAAGAACCGTAAATAGGATAATGGTTTCGTAAATTCTAATTTTTAAGTTTCGGGACAGGAGGCGATAACTAAGTAATTTTGACAAAGAAAAATAACAAGCATTTCCCGCCTTCAGCCTAACCTTAATATCCTCTTCAATTTCGTTTTTTCTAGTTATCGTGGACCCTAGATACCTAAAATTCAGTAAGTGTTCAAACACATTCCCTTCTATATCAATATCGAAATTATCGCTGTTTTTGCAGCTAACCATATATTTTGTCTTATCCGTATTTATCTCGAGTCCTAGTTCTTTACCAGCTTCCATCAACATTCTTGTATTTAGTTTTATTGTTTTCATGTCTTCGCTTAACAGTACCAAATCATAAGCATATCCAAGCACAGATATTGTTTCACCCACGTTCAAATCTCTCTAATGACATGTTCTAATGCCAAATTAAATAGCACAGGTGAGAGAGAATCACCTTGTTTTAAGACCAAACGAATCTCAAATTTCTCGGATAAATAATAACCGATTCTAACTTTATTGGATGTTTCCGTCAAGCACATCCTAACTAGATTCACTAATTTTTTGGGGATCCTCTGTTTGATTAGAATAGTTTCTGGCAGTCAATAGAATCGTAAGCCTTTGTGAAATCAATATACAGCTGGTGAACAACACCGTTGTACTCTAATATTTGTCGTCAACAAAATATTTGATCAATAATCGAACAGTTCCTCCTAAACCCACATTGGTAATCTCCAATAATTTCCCCGGCATATTCCGTGATTTGATTAGTTAATTAAGATTAACGTGAATATTTTATAACATACTAGAAGGAGTGAAATTCCTCGATAGTTATAACAGTCGGATCGGAATAAGAATAGATTCTTTCCATTCTTGAGCCAATTTCTCATTCTCCCATATCTTTTTAACTAAAAAATGTATTTTATAAACTCCAGCTTCCCCGCATGCCTTAATTAGTTCACTAGGAATATCATCGGTCCCAGCTGCTTTATAAGGTTTTAGTTTTCCGATAGCTGTTTCAACTTCCTCTTTACTTGGTTCTTCTATTAACGGTTCGCCACTCTGGTACTCTGAAGGAGGACACAGATCATTATTTCTCGTATTTAAAATATTGTCAAAGTGTTTCTTAAACTTACTCAATATCTCTACAGGGTCAGTGAGGATATTGTTATTTTCATCCCTAATTCCAGTCGTTACGGGTCCTAAACATTTACCTGATTTATTTATACCTTTATTTTATACCTGCTTTATAAGATTTTAGTTTTCTGATAGCTGTTTCAACATCCTCTTTACTTGGTTCTTCTATTAACGGTTCACCACTCTGGTACTCTGAAGGAGGACACAGATCATTATTTCTCGTATTTAAAATATTGTCAAAGTGTTTCTTAAACTTACTCAATATCTCTACAGGGTCAGTGAGGATATTGTTATTTTCATCCCTAATTCCAGTCGTTACGGTCCTAAACATTTACCTGATTTATTTATACCTTTGTACATGTCACTTACGTTGTTTTCAATTCTATTGTTTTTATATCTATTATTTTATCTTTAAGATACTCCCTTTTTTTTATTTTTGAACAATTTAGTAGTTTCATTCTTTAAGGCCCAGAAGTATTCAAGATTGTTTTCGCTAAGATTATTTACAGCTTTTATTTTAGTGGCTTTTCTTTTTTCGCACATATTTAAGCAATCTTCATTAAACCACTGTTTGTTATTTTTATTTTTTCCAAGACACAAGTTACTGGCTTCATTAATATTATCCCTGATCCCTACCCATAACTTATATCATCGCAGTCCTCTTCAGAAGGTTCTAAAGCTTGAAACTTATTCTTAACTTGAAGCTCGAATTGAGTTCTAGTTGATGGATTTTTTAATTTTTCCAAATTAAAATTCTCGGAATCGAAACGGTTTTCTTTACTCTTTTTTATAGTAAGTTTATGCCGAAGTTCGCGATTACTAATTCATGATCTGATCCACATTCTACCCTGCGATAAGACCTTACCTTAATTATACTAGTTTGCCACTTATGTTGTATCAAGACATGATCGATTTGATTTCGTGTTTGCGAATCCAGTGATGTCCAAGTATATTTGTGAATATCCTTATGTTTAAACGTAGTACTTTTAATTATCAGATTTTTTGAGATGGCAAAATTTATAAGTCGAATTCCATTATCAATACTATATTTGTGCAAACTTTCTTTACCGATCCTCGGAAAATAAACATCTTCCCTTCCCACCTTTGCGTTAGCGTCCCTTAAAATTATTTTCATGCAGCTTCGCGGTAGTTTTTCATATACCCACTTCAGTTTATCATAAAATTCACATTTGGCTTCTTCATCACTGCCCCAGTACATGTTTATCAACACGATTTTAAACCAACGCCCCTGGAATAGAGCC